CTCTCTCTCTCTCGTTATATATCATTAAAAAACAAATTTCCCTTGATTAATCGTCGATCCAGATTAGAGCACACCATAAATGTGCGTGTGGGCTTACTGATCAATTACCAAAGACTAGCGTATGCTCGCCAATTGGCTTTTTCGAATTTGTTAAACCGGTGAAGAGTAAACGATCCTCTTTTCAGAGGATTTAACATCTCTTGAATAGGGCAGTTATTAAAGGATTTCGACGTATGCGAGGTTTGTGTACTTTCACTTGAAAAAAAAACATTTCAATGAATGAAAAGACCTGTCAAACCCTCAGGGTAATTTGACCAACGGCAATGCTTAAAAACTTATTATTGCGAAATGTCAAATAACATTTTGGTAGCACCCCTCTCTTCTGAACTACTGATGAGTTCGCCTACAAATTGATGACCATACGCACATCAAATAATGCGCCAGGGTCCCTTTCAGTCTAAAAAGAGCAGTTTTCTTGCGTGGACAGGTTTATCACCGCAAAAGTTTCATAGTAAGATTCAAAGGAGGATATGTCAAAGTACACCGTAAGGATGCATTCCTTGAGAATAACACCAAGAAAGCTCGTTGATGAACGTTTACCCGACCGCTAAGGGGACTCCTCTGTCCGGCCCTGCCTAGGGCTTCGATGGGGACCCTGACAGTCGCAGCAGCTGATAATATATGTAGATAGTATTGTCGGCAAAGACAAGTGAGACCGGAATGGCCATTTGTAGCTTATTAGCCGTTGTCAGCCAGTCATACCCAGACCGAAGTGGAGCCCCACTCGAACCTTGAACTCTGATCAGAGTCAAACGCCGTAACCATTGAGCCACAAATTCGTTGCCTTGCCGGTTTAGATCAAGGGATATTGACACTCGTTTATGAACCTTCACCCAACCGCTACCGGAACTCATCAGTGCCGCTCTGCCTAGGGCCTCCACAGAGGCCCTGACAGCCGTAGTAGATGGTATTATATGCAGATGTTGTGCTGCTAGCACAAACTCCAATAGGCGGGCAACGCAATGAACAACGACAGGATGCAAGCCATTCACAGGCGAACTACATTAGATATGAAAGTAAGGGTCTTCCAATTTTTAACGTAGCCAGTAGGTTCACTTAATAATCACGTTCCGGCTATATTTGTAACTTCTAAAATGTAAAGCCGTGCGTGTACATCTACATTCTTAGTCTGCCATGGGTGCAGAAGCCGGACGTCATTTTTCTCAAGTAGTTTTTTGAGAATTAGCGGTATGGCGAAATAAAATATCCTTAAAAGGAACTCAAGAGGTACGAAACTTTCCCATTACGCAAAAGCGTGGTTTAGTTTTACGAATATCATGCTATTCAATTCGTAGTACAGATCCCAAGGGCGTTGGTATTGCAGAACATTTTTTAATCTTTATGCTTTTATTAAAAGGTATTGATTTTTATTTTTGCTAATAATTAATTTTTGTATCAAACTTTAGGCAGAAGAGCTCTTCTTCCAGTCAATTAGAGCTCACTCAGGCCTCGCAAATTATCACCACATCTGTTATTGGGAGTTAATGTGGTGCTATTGGTAAGCTCGAAATTTCTTCTGATCTACAATACCTCCACCCCCACCCCCTCCGTTAAATGCAAGTAATACATTGTATATTTTCAGAAGAAGAAGTTTTATCGAACACCAGAATCATTATTTTATTTTTCTGAGCTTTCGGGCTCCTGCAGGAGTCCACCGTCAGAGAAGGGAAAATGAGGAGACTAGTTCCGGTGTGTGTACAAAACAAATAAAATTTGAACGTGTAGAAAATCAATAATTGTGTGGTTTTGCCGCCGACTCGTCACTGCGGACTATGTCAGTCTGTGCTAATGGGCGAGATCGGCGTGTTGGGTGGGAATATTTACAGAAATAAAATCATCAACGAAAACAAGCAACATTTATGGGGGAAAGGTCAATTATAAGCCATAGGAGAGTGGGGAGGGGAAGAAGATCAATTAACCACCAGTGCCGTGAGTCTCGAGATACCTGCGCAGGGCAACATATGCGGGCGCCACCTCAATACATCCGTTAACTGAATTGTCATCCGATGCCAAGGCTTCAATCAGTTCTCGGCCCGTCTTGCTGCCAGCGTGGGCAATTATCTTCGCGGCTGCGAAGCCGAATTCGTGACCTATCTCGTAGGTGTGGGCCGCCACGTACGATACTGTGTCACCCCGTCGAACAGCCAGCTTACGTCCATGTATGCGCGAACCCAGCTTGCGTCCAGTCTGTCCCGTGTAATTTATGGGACAGTTTAGACCAATAAAATAATGATTCCGGTGTTCGATAAAACTTCCTCTCAAAATATACGCGTTCCTGGAATGCAAACATTTGCCTCAATTCATGAGTAGTACATTGTCTCTATTGGCAACTATAAAGCCAAATTATTATGAAAAACCGCTAACAACGACACTTTCGTACCTAAGTGTTCAGGGAAAGTGGCTGCCGGCGATGAAATACGCAGAACGGCTCGCCTGCGAGAGCAAGTGGAGTCAGGCTACGTACCGGTACCTCAAAGCTGCTTTGCTTTTACAATTCATGGACGAAGAGGCTCAAGCTGGTTGTGATATATCTGATGCAACATTCGCCTCTCTCCACGAACGACGGCTTTCGCCAGTATCTCTTTCGGGATACGTTCAGAATAAGGAGGTGCCCAAGGAGCGCGAGGTAACTAACGATGCGGACGGTGGAACAATGTCTCTTCATGTGGAGAAGTTGCTTGAGTAAGACATTCGTTGTTTTGTTTCGTACGTTTTAACATTCCACTTGCTTACTTGAGTCAGCAGGGTACATTTTTGATAATCCATTGCCCTACTAGTTTATTACGAGGTCTTTGACAATGCCTTCTGTATTGGAGGTACAAAAATAGCAACGACGTGACGGCTCTGGTAATATCTGACTTAGAATGGCTACCTATTATAGGCGAACGGCATTCGTTTTTTATAAATCTTTACATAGCAGTCTCTTCCGCTCTCAAAATTTACTACACGATGTCAATATAACTCTGGGGCTCTGAAAGTGAACTGCCAACTTTTCCTCTTCCTTTTAACACTGGATAGCCTTATATTTTTAGCGCAAGAAATTGATGAATTGGCCGAATAAAATGCAACCCCCTCGTTGACATATGCTATTTTGTGAAATTTTCTATCGGCTGTGTCTTTGAAGAAGAAGAAGAGCAATACAGTTTTATATCAGGAAGTTGATGGGAAAAACGAAAAATGTATTCTCCATTCTTGTTAGACAAAAGCGTTTATGGATTTTTTTTGTCTGAATACATTTTCCCATTTCCTGACTATATGTACTGCCACCTTTATCGTCTTTTAAGTGGTTTATCTTAAGTTAGTAACTAGGTAAAGCCCTTTTCAACAAGTGGGCGACCTCTTGTGTGTTCCGGGCACCGCCTATCTGAACTTACTAGTCTGCAGTAGTACAGCTGTCGTTAAACATTAAAGGATGCTACATAGGATCGTCCACCTTTATTTGCACAAAGTAGCTAGACGATACATCTGCATGGGCATGCACATATGATATTTTAGGAAAGTACGCAATCCAATGATGCAAATGGCCCTCTTGAATGCTGTCCTTTAAACATTGAGCGAGTGAGACCTGAAGATTGTAATTACAGCTATGTGAGCAGATTCGCAGAGTAGAGTTCATTTTATGTCAAAGTCAGAGCAGGCCAGCGAAAGGCCTTGATCCCCGCCGGTTTCAATTATTTAGCAAATCAGAAGAAGAAGATGCGATCACTGGAACAAGGACTTTATTTTCCTGACGT